AGAAGAAGAAGAAGAAGAAGAAGAAGAAGAAGAAGAAGAAGAAGCTGGAAGATGGACCCAAGTTTTTGAAATCTGGTGATGCTGCCATTGTTGACATGGTTCCAGGCAAACCCATGTATGTCGAGAGCTGCACTGACTATCCACCTCTGGGTCATCTCTGTTCACGATATGAGACAGACAGTTGCTGTGGGTGTCATCCAAGCTGTGGACAAGAAGGCTGCTGGAACTGGCAAGGTCACCAAGTCTGCCCAGAAAGCTTAGAAGGCTAAATGAATATTATCACTGCCACCAGCCACCCCAGTCTTAATCAGTGGTGGAAGACCGCTCTCAGAACTGTTTCTCCAAATTGGCCATTTAAATTTAATAGTGAAAGACTGGTTAATGATAACTTTGCATTGTAAAATCTTCAGAAGAAAAAAAAAAAAAAAGAGAGAAAACATGTATCATGCAAATATATGGATGTAAAATGCTAAAAAATAATGATTCAAAGATACCTGGTCATTTTGCTTTTTTTCAAGTGAAAACTTCAGAGGACAAGGCACTTTTGTGGGTGTGAAATTTGGTTTAAGAATATGTCTATCAGAAGATACTTCTGCTGAAAAGGATGGAGGAAAATTACAGTTTTCTGTTCTGAAGAATGGAGGTTCAAACATACTGCATGAGTCCATATTCTGTGATGACTGGAAAAAAAGACAAAATCATTAAAAAATATGCAAACTAAAGAGTTCAGGAACAAAAGGGAAAACATGGAAACAAAGGGTTTATTTTATTGAGAAACAAATAGCAATGAGACAGTTTCAAAACAGGTTAGTAGGACAGTTACAATAATTAATACATTGCATATTGTTGTCTTCGTAGTATTCATAGTACAAGATGCAGACAGGATATCTTGCCCAAACACTATTAGTAGAAATCTTTCTTCTCATTTGAATTAAGAGAAAGTAGCTATATATCTATCCTAAAAATTTTGTATATACAAATATATATACATGTACACATATTTCACTACAAAATGGTCCTTCATTTATATCCCCTTTTTTGTTTAGTTTTATCAGAGATGGGCATTCCACTGCCATTTAAATATAGTAGGTGTGCAAATTCAGCAAAAAATCCAATACAGTCCAGTAGTCCGTAATAGTAGCAGATTATCCATAAAACTGGCAATGTCAGAAGTTGTTGATTTGAGCCTTTTATAGATCAGCATATTAATATTGCTTTACTTTATATACCTCATTTTTATACTTTTCTGCTGGATGGTTAAGACCAAGATAAAGCAAGACCTATATAACGAGAAACATAACTTTTGCATCTGACAAGGTCAAGATTTAACCTTCAGAATTTACCCTGAAGCCTGGTATCGCAGTTTGTAGATCCTTTGTGAGTGTCAGCCATGTGGATGAGTCACAGCCGTTGCTTAGCCAGTGTGCTCTCCGTGAAAGCCTGAGAGAATGTTTTCTCTCCATGTGACTCTCCTTAGGCACATTCTACATCATTCATTACTCTCCTGTGTGGCCCCATAATCTTGATCAGAAAATTTGGGACACCACTGAGCTACAGGATGTTACAGGACAGGTTCTCTTATGTTCTGAGTCCTCACTGACCTTGAATGGCTAGGGCCAAAAGGAAACAAAGTTTTTGTAAATGGGGGGGGGGGAGTTGAAGGAAAGGTAAGAGCATGGGGAAAAAAGAATTAAGATACATCATGCACAGGTACAACTTTCCTATGATGAACATGATCATAGTAAAACTCAAGTGGTAAGGGCATAGGTTACAAAAGAAAAAGTCCTAAGGAAAAGCAAGGCAACCACAGGATTCACTAAATGAGAATGATCACCAACTCAGGTGTTACTTACTACTTCTTTCCCTGCCTTTCTACCTTCTGCACCTGCCCACCTGCAAATTCTAGTCCATCTGCCTCTCTCTGATGGCAGGAAATCTGAATACCATTAGCCCACATGTCAGGCTGTGGGGTCCTCAAGAGACTGTTTTATTTTTTATTTATTTACTTATTTTTTTATTTGAGACTGTTTTAGTATCACTGCTATTATTCTGTCAGTTCAGTGGGAAGAAAAAAGAGCTGATAATATGGCACTGGAACATTAAATAAAACTAAGCTTTAATCACAATCTCCCTTTCAAATTAATTAAAATTTTGTTTACTAAGAAATACTTGGTACATTTTGAAGAAAAATCATCTTGGGGTAAATGTAAGGAGTGAATATCATAACTATTTGATTAAAAAATATTGCATGAAGAGATAAATTGCTCAATAAATACGTGAGCTGAAAAGAAAGAATCCCCAAAGTGAACTGTCTTTTGCAGCTCTTCACTAACAAGCAGAATCAAATGTTAGGCACACATAGGCCTAATCACATTTCCAGTATTCCAAAAGAATTCTCATAAGCAGTCAGTTAAAATATACTTAAGGCAAGAGTTTACTGAATTAGAAAGTCTTTTTTTTTTTTTTTTTTTTTGGCAGAACCGGGGATTGATCAGGCCCTTGCGCTTGCCAGGGAAGCACTTACTCTACTGAGCCATCTCCACAGCCCAGAAACCTATTATCATTTGAAAGAGTAAATTTTTAAAGGATAATTTCCCCAACATTCAAAAGTTTATTCAGTGACCAGGGAGATAGCTCAGTAGAGTAAGTGCTTGCCCGGCAAGTGCAAGGTCCTGAGTTTGATTCCTAGTACCACCAAAAAAAACCCTCAAAAAAACAAAAACAAAAAGTTTATTCAGTAGACTGTCACAATTGTTAAAAAACCTCATGAAAACCTTTTTTAAAGTCTTACCTGAACTGAGCCACATCCTTCCTTGTTATCTAGTTTTTGACAGTGTATTCTATGGAAAAGAAAATTTTAAGGTGAAAAATATAAAAAGCAATAAAATTAACTTTTATATGTGTAAAATTCATAGTGTTCTACATAAGCATATGAAAAATACAAAATTGTAACTAAATCATTCCAAAGTCACAAAAGTACTGAGTTTTATGAGAATAAACATTTTTATGATAAAAATGTGTATAAAATACGTAGTCCACTTAATAAAGGTCTGAATACTTTTATAATATCAGGCAAACAAAAACTGGAACAAGAAGGTAAGCAACATGTTCATGTTATAATAATTAAAGTATTTATATAACTAATGTAAACACCTAATAATAAAATACCAGCTAAAACTTACTTGTTTTCTGTGTCATCAAGGCAGAGTTTAGAAGATATATGATGAGGGGACAGTGGAAGTTCTAAATCATACTGTCTTAGTGGCATTTTTATGTCTCTATTCATATTTACATGGGTTGGTTTCTTTACAATTTCTATAGCGAAAAAATGTTATAATTTAAAGAAAAATATTTTAAAATATTGTTTGATATATCACATTTACTAAGTAAATATGCATCTAAGAAATTTTACTAACTTTCTAGGTATGCTAGAAAAAGTCATTACAGTATTACCAACTATCACATAATTAAAAACATCTCTTCTTAATTTTACACACCTTTCAAGAATGGGGCCCTACTAATTTAACTCTACTTTATCCATCTGTTGGCATCTGTTCTGCCACATATTTTCATCACATTACATAGTTTCTCTATTATAGCATTTTGCATACTTTATTGTTTTTGACTAGCTTTATCTCCCTGACTGGATTTTAAACTGTAACAGTGAGAAGACCTGTCTTTTTATAGAAGATACACAATTTTGTCTGTCCAGCAATTTTACCTATTCATCTTTCTGGGAAATGTTTTTTATACCCACTCCCATAATATGCTTCCCTTAAAACTGTCCCACTCTGGGCAAAAATCATTGGCTTAGGAGTAGTCATTTAATGACAGCTGAACCAGTGATAGAATCCACCCCTTGGGTTTTAAGTGAAATTGTTCCAGCTCTGGATGTGAGTACAATTCAAAATTTGGAGACAAAGAAACAACTCTTTCTCTGATGGCAAAATCAGGAGAAATTAGCAATATTAGCTGCTTAAGGCCTTATTTTAGAGCCTTAATGATGCATCTGCAGAAAAAAGAAAGTAGTCCTCACATCTGACTCACGCTGCCTCTTGGGCCTGGTAGATCACTGCCCTTCCTTTTAGTTGAATGAGTAAATACACGAATAAGTAAATACATTTGCATCATTCTGTCTAGAAAGAACAATATAATAACTGATGCTAGACCATGGTAAATTAAGACCTAATGAGTAAATTTCATAGAATACAAAACTGAAAACAAAAACAAATGGACTAAGCAACAGGAAGTTTTAGACAAATATTACAATTCTAATTGAAGGAAGCAACCAAATTTTAAAATAAATTTTCTACATGCTTTGAATTCTAAAATTCAAACTAACTAGAACATTAAATGTTATTATAACCACATCAATGTCCAAGTAAAATGGTACTGGAGAGACTTACCAGTTTCTTTCTTCTTGCAGGATATCTGATTTACTATATAAAGATTAAGAAGATCTAAACTGGCAGTGGAATTTTTGGCAGGAGACAAAACTCCCAGTAATTTCATTTTTGATTTTAACCTATTTCTTTCAAAGTATTCCTAAAATGCATAAAAAATTAAATGTATCAGGCAGGTGATTTAGGATAAAAATCATAAACAAAAAGCACTAAGGCTATTAACACACTAGTATTTTTGTATTTTGTGATACTACCTTTATATATTTACACACAAGTCAAAGTCAATTATGTCAAACTTGAAGCATGCCTAAAGATTCTAAGTTTCACAACTTTTTATAATCTTTTTCTTGTTATTGTAACTCTTAAACCGGAACCTTCAAAAGGTATTCCCATGTCTCAAAAAGTTAGAAATTATCTGTACATTGAAAAAAACTGCTAAAACTGCTAATCTTACAGGTTAAAAATTTGTTTTCCTACAAAGTATACTACCCTGAAAACACAAAAAGCTGTAAAAGACATAGCTAAGTGTCATTAAAAGTCAACTGAAGTGAGAAGGAAAAACATGTCTCTAAGAATTAACCTAAAAAACACTTAGTTCCTTGCCATCCTTCTGTGACTCCTAGATGTGTTTTTTTTTTTTAAAAACCTGACATGCACATAATTATCACTCCTCATACAGTTTTCATTTTCTTGGCTGTTTAGACTAGACTATAATTATTCTTCCTTATCTTCATCTTATTTCTAAATTATATCCTTAATTTATCAAGCTCAAAAGCATCTATTTAATATTTCTGAGCAATTTTTACATTAGACACTATAACAAATTCACTTTAAAATATTCTCTTTCACTAAATAATTAAAATACAACTCCCTAAGCTTGTTTATAAATGTAAATTGTCAAAAGTAAAAAAAATTCAAACTGGCAAAAATTTTAATGCAAATACTCACATTTGAAAGTGGTTATATTATTATATTTTTAAAAGGTTAAGGGTTTTTCACATTAACATCTTGGAATACCATTACAATAAATTTTTAAAATCATTATAAAACTACAAGACCTGCCAGGTATCTACCAAAATAATCAAATGTCCTGTTTTATCAAATAAATCACAGAAAAAGGTATATATTCATTTTTCCTGTGAGTGATCTATAACCCTAAACTGGACTAAAGTGTTAAAAGATCAATCACACTGTGGTCTAGCAATGAAATAATCTTTTTTTTTCCTTCTTTACTTTAATCTTTTATTTATTTATTTGGTACAGAGTCTCACTATGCAGCTTGGGCTCATAGTGATCCTCCCAGCTCAGCCTCCCCAGTGCTAGGATTGCAGGTGTGTGCAACATCCCGACAGGGTTCAGGGCAGCATAGTGCACCCATGGCGGGCAGGCACAGTATGTGGTACCAGGTTGAATCCAGGTCCTTGTGCTTGCCAGACAGGCACTTAGACCTCCAAGCTATCTCCCTAGCCCCAGCAATAAGTAATCTTTAGAACCCTTATGATCACTAAGTTGGTGTTAGATCTTTAATGGTCTCTTGGAAGATGTTTCTCCTTAAAGCACTGTATGTTGTGGTAACAAAAATCACAATGTGGAAGACAACACAATTATAACTGAGTGTGACAAAGGAGGGTACAACACTTAGCAAGGGAATGCAAATTATGGTTAGGGAAAGAATGAGTAGGGGGAGGGCAGGAAGACAGGGAAAGCTTAGGAAATAATTTCTAAGATAGGGATGAATCAGAGTTAGTCAAAGAGGGTAGTGATAGAAAGTTCTATAGAAGAGACAGCACAAAGAATGACACAAAACAGTATTCCTTCACTGCAGAGTCATGCTCACCTTGAACCTATGTTTTTATAAAGGACAAAGGCATATGACAAAAATTAGGCTCCATTTTCCTTCCTGTCAAGTCTCACTTGTCAGAAACAATAAGAAAACAACTTGAATACAGGTACAATCAAAGAGACAAAATCTAGAGAATGTGTCAAAGAAAGCATGGAAGGAATCTGTTTCAATATGAAAAGAACAGCAGATCATGTCAATGATACATTGAAATGCTGGATTGATATTTTTTAGGGCTGCTATGCAACACAAAGGTTGTTGTTCACATGATCAAGAGCTGTACGGTATTACAGCCTGAGCTGTCAATGGGAGGTGAGAGTAGGAAAGGGGAAGGATCCAGAGAGGCCAAATGCAATTGTCACTTGCTTTTCCTTACATTTTACTACTTCTAGTCATACTGATACACTGGATTTTGGTTTGTCTTCCTGTTTTGAATTTTTTGTAAAAGGAGTATTATTGCATGAATTTTTCTGAGTTGTTTATTTTGCTCAACATACTTGAGATTGATCTACTAAGTACTCATAGCAAACACATCTGTACTGCTATACCATTATTTGGATTAACAAAGCCATCACCACTAAATATTCAAGTTGTTCCCTTCCATTTCTTTTCCCTCTTAGTACACTTCTTTTTTTCTCCTCTGCTTTTTATTATTTTAGAAATAACAGTAACCTAGTTTTGTCTCCAAGTACTGTTCATGTGCAGACACTTCTGAGATGCATATTGTTGTGCTAAGTACTAGCATGTTCAAATTCACTATGTAGTATAGTCAATGTAGTAACACAAGAGAAATGGAAGTAGAACACAAGGCCGTAACTGTACTCTATTAATTCAAAGAGGATATGAATTATAGTGCTAACACTATGGGTAGTGAGATATGACAGATTAATGAAATACTTTGGAACTAGAAAGACTGTAAAAATCAGTAATTATCTTAAAGTCAGCCTGAGAAAAAAATGGCTGGAGGAAAATATTCCAGTTTCACTCAGGCAAATTTATTAATGGTAGAAAAATATTTCACAAGAACACAATTTGCACAAAGTTAACACAAAAAATTTTTTTTTACCTTTTGCTTTCTTTTGTCCTGCTTTATGAGAACCCTGGTCCTAAAAAGGGAGCAAAGGTAAGACATTGAGATTACAGATTTGGTTTTTAAGATGACTTCCATCTTAAACTGAAGATTTAAAACACAAATCTAAACCTGGACTGATGACTATTATTTCCTGAAAATGTTCTCTGGAAGCTGTGAAGTCCAAGGTGAACCTATCAGCAGATCTGACGCCTGATCAGAGCCCTTTTTCTGATTCTCAGATGATGCTTCTCATTGTAAAGAGGTGAGCAAGCTTTCTTTTTTATAAGGACCCTAATCCAAATTTTCTTATGAAATCCAAGATCTACTTAAGATGAATAATTTAGCAAAAAAAAAAAATCTAAATTATAAGCCAAGATGAGAAAGTGCAATGCAAAGGATGTATCACTGAAACAGTCTCAATAGTAATATTCTTGAACAATTCTATTTTCTTTGTATTTCAAAATTCCACTAAAATGAAAAGGGAACAAAAAGCAAATAAAAATCTATTTGCAATCTACAGAAATGTTAAGGTTTGTCAGCAGTGATTTGGTTTTTTTTTTTTTTTCTTTTTTGAAATGAGAGATTGAACTCAGGCCCTTGTGCTTGCCAGGCAAGCCCTTATTCTACTAAGCCATCACCCCGGCTCCCGTTGTGACCTTTATGATAAATGAGAAAAGGTATCACAGCCTTCTGCCCACATGCTGACAAACAACAGAAATGCATTCTCCACAGAGCTGGAGGCTGTGAAGCCCAAGATCAAGATGCCAATGACATCAGGTATCTGGTGAGGACCCATTTTCTGCATCACAGAACATCCTTCACCAGGTATCCTCATTGTGTCCTCTCACGGTAAAAGGATAAGCTATCTGTCTGAGCTATTGTCAAGGGTACTAATAATTATGAAGGTTTCTTCTCTTAGGATCGAATCACCTCCTAGGTCCTGCCTCCCAACGCCATCTCCCCTATTTTAATATTTCAACATAAGAATGAAAGAGGGGGAAACAAATATTCAGACCAAAGCATCTTCTTTAAAAAAATCTAGTCATTATGAATGATACTTGTACCAAAATAACAGTATTTTTTTTTTTGTATTTAGTACATAGTCTATAGAATCTAAAGGGTCTCATTACGCAGATTAGACATGCAGTGATTCTGTTTTCAGCTTCCCAAGCAATGGGATTACAGGCGTGCATCACCATGCCCAGTCTCAATCGCTGTCTCAGCACACCCCGGAGATGGGGCTGGCATGGAGTAGTGCAATTTTTAATGCTTATAAAATGTTTACTAATCAATACCAATGGAGTGCTATAAAACATCCTGCTTACTTTTTAGATATGTATAATAGTGCCAAATTCAATATGTAAGAACTATAAAATGATAAAATATCTTAATTGTACGAGAATGTACAATACCAAAATAACAACTGCTAATAAGAACTAAGTATCTTGCACTATTCTAATTACTTCAGATATTGTACATGTATAAACTCATTACATCTTCACAGCAACTCTCTAAAGTAGTTTCTATTTCTGAACCAAATTTACTGATGAGAAATTAAGGCAGACAGAAATTAAGTAGTTTTCCCTAGGTCACACTGCTAAGTAGTGATACTGGTAGGACTCAGATCCAGAAATTTTTGATTTGGAAATTTTTCACCAGAATTACATTATACTGCCCCTCCAGTATGTCAACTGAGAATATTCAAAGATGTTTATTATTACCAGTGATTCTCATACACATCATGAATGACAGATACTGAATATTCCCAAACTCCTTCACTTATTTTTTTTAAAAAAAAAGAGAAAAAAAAAAAACAACAACCCACAAAGGTGAAAACAAAACAAAAAAAAACAATAGAAATCACACAGAATTTCAAAACTAGGTGATAGGAAATTAACAACAGTTGCTACAATACATATTGTTCTCTTCAAAATAGTTTCTCAGATTACCTGACATAGGTATGCAAAAGCGATCAAACGATTAAGCATTATCCTTCACTTATTAGTCATTTAATATATTTTATTAGTTTGTCTTAATTGTTTTTTGAACTTATTAACCAAAGAACCCCTTATCTTCTGCTCTAGCAGCATTTTATACATACACTGTTGCCATTCCAACCTAACAAATGAAGATTGAAGGAAACTATATTATCTTAACTCATCAAGTGCTAGGGCACATTTTAGAGATCAGTTTACTCTGCATTATTTTTTACTGCATAATTCATTCCATGTTACAGAGCTCAGCAGAATTCGGGACAAGTCAAATTCTAGATAAAGTCTTCATGTATACATAAGTCGATTTCATCCAGGCTGATGTTCAACTACCTAGGACACTTATAGAGTCTACCAATTTCTACATACTACATAATGCCCATTCCTAAGGGCCTGAGGAAAAAAATATAGATTTAATCCTAATAATATCTAGATCAGCCTACTAATAGCTAGACCACAATGAAAGAAAAAAAGGCTTCTGACATGTCAAAAGGCAACTTGAGAACATTTTTAATTAAGGCTAACTCTTATTAAAGTACTGTATGTCCATATAATCTAAATGGTTTACTCAACAAAGGAATCTTAATTACATGCATTAAAGATGATTGCATCAGTCAGAGTTCTTAGTTACAAAAAAGATTAAAAGCATATTTGACTGATTCAAACAAAAAAATAATTATTAAAAAGAAACTGGGTAGTCAACATATCTAATGAGAAGACTGAAGAGCCAGAGTTTGCAGAGCAGGAACAAGGCAGTCTAACCTGCCACAGGTTATGCCAAAGCATGCCACAGTGGCCTCAAAGACATCACTGCGGCTACCAGTGACCACGACTCCATGACTGCTGTTCCTGGAAGGTAAATGCTGCCCCGACTACTCTACAGGCATTGGTTACCAATTCCTATCTATCTACTTTCAAGACTGATTAAACTATGATAAGAATAACTCAATTTCAGGATTTACATGAATATCTAATCAGCTTTACAACATCCAGTACCTGGTCCCTTCCCCCTTCTCCTTTCCCTCACATACTTACTAGTCTCTAAATCTGTAATCATCTCAAATTTCAGAAAAAAGTAGAACCTGGCATATCACATTATGATGAGCTCATGCTCAAGCAATAATTTCATGGGAACTACACTGCCCTTGAGGCTGTGAGGATTTCAGAGAACTATGGAACAGAGATAACAACCACCGAAATCCTGGCCAACATCAACTAATTCTTAAAGACAAATCCCTGCGTCAGAATGTGTCCCTTTCAGTTATTCTAGCTGAAGATACGCCTGTCAATGCCTCACACTGATACACTCTGGAATTCTTTTTCTGTAACAAGAGTCAAGAATCTCCCCAAAGCTGGTGAACATCTATAGTCCTATCATTCTGGAAGGCTCAGACTAGAAGGTCACAAGCTAACACGATCACACAGCTAATTTAGTAAGGTCCTATCTCAAAACAAAAGAATAAAATAAAAAAAGAGACGAACAGATCTGAGTGAAGGTCCCGGGTTAAACCCCCTATATGAAAAAAAAACAAAAAAAAAAAAACTATTCATTGGGCCATGTCAAGGTTATTGCCTCCTCTTTGTGAGGTCTCTACAACAGACACATTGGTCAAGCAACAGCCGTGACTCATCCACATGGCTGACACCGATAAAGGATCTACAAAGTGTGATACAGGGATACAGGATAAATACTGAGGGGACCTGACTGACCTTATCAGATATAAAAGTTACATTTGTTATATAGGTCTTGCTTTATCTTGGTCTTAACCATTCAGCAGAAAAGTATAAAAACGAGGTATATAAAGTAAAGCTATATTAACATGCTGAGCTGTAAAAGGCTCAAGTCAATAACTTCTGCAGATAACCCACTATTATTGTGAACTGCTGGACTGTACTGGATTATTTTGCTGAATTCACGCACCTATAGTATTTAGAAGCCAACAGAATACCCATCTCTGACAGGACGAAACAAAAAAGGGGATACAAAGGAAGGACCATTTTATATTTGTATATACAGAATAGTTAAGATAGATATACAGCTACTTTCGCTTAATTCAGTAAGAAAGATTTGTAGTAATAGTGTTTGACAGGATATCCTATCTGCTTCTTGTACTATAGATAACCACTAAAAAGATAACCATGTACAAGGTATTAATTATTGAAAATGTCCTATTAATCAGCTTTGAAACTGTTTCACTGATATTTCTCAATAAAATAAAAAAAAAAATGTTAGGCTGCTAAAGATTACAAATGTCTTCTAAAGAACTGTTGTACAATAAAATTAAATAGGTGACGCTTTAAAATTCCTAAAAGTTGTTTTATAGGGATTTGCTTACAAAAATAAAATAGTAATAACTCACTAAAAAGTGATAGAAACTATCAGAAATTTTATATGTGATAAAAATTATACAAAATTTGCACATAATCAAAAGGACTTGAAAATGAGTCCCCGCAGTTACTTGATAAAACCATTCTTCATTGACTACCACAGTATTAACTAAGTAGCCAACTTTGATTTATTAAATTTTAAAGTATCTTTTTGGTTATATGTAATTATTTTCCAACATATTTTGCTAAATAGGTAAGCACCTAAAACAGCTCTATCACATAGGGACATGCCTTCCCCAACATGGTCTCAATTCAGCTTTCAACTTCATTTGCTGTTCTACTTCAAGAATTCATACCTTCAAACAAAGCAAAATATATACACAACACTTTTCTCCATAGTAGGGGAATTTTTCCCACTATATTTGTATATCCAAAACTTCCAATACCTTCAAGATTCCATTTAAATGTCAGTTTATTCATATTTATATGATTTACAAAAATAACTTTTATCTGTGTTGCTCTAATTTTGTCCTAAAATGTTAATTACCAGAGATTTAGATGGGAGCCAGAGAGTGAGAATGAGGCTCAACTTTTTAACAGTAATTACTAGGTTATTCTGGAATATAGTTTTTTAAATAAATATACTGCAACCTTCTCCTTCAATGAGAACTTGAATGAACAATACTGTCATCAAACCTTCATATTTAAAAGAAAATCAACAGGCCATATCTGTTCAGTTAT